CCCCCTCTAAATGAGTTGCACAGAATTTTTGAAAAGTCTCAAGAAGTGGACCAATGACACTGAGACTTCATCAGAGTATAAAGCAGAAAGATGTTTACTTTGTGTTTTCCATGTGATTTGGAGGGGCTAGTAGCGATGAAAAGGTTTTTAAATTTCAAATCTTAGAATATGCAGTCTTTCCCTTAAAGTATTCAGATTATTCTGACTCGATTCTTCTGTCTAGTGGTTTTTGGTTTTGGTGAAAAAAAGTGCCTTTCTTGTAGATCCTTTATCAGGTGCGTGCACAGTGGAGTTGGCTGAAATTGAAGACAGTTTAGCTGGAAACTGTGGTAAACCAAAAGAAAAGAAAATCCCTGATTTGTCGCCTAAATGAAAAAAAGCAGCGTTTTGTCAGCTTACGGCAGTGTAGTGAAGTAATGATAACTACTGGGATTTATTCTGTTGTTGTTTTGACTTCTCAGTGCCGTGTCTCGGGCGATCAACAACCTCGGTCCCCCTGACCCACGAATCAACGACGCTGTTAACGTCCGGCAAGAGCTGGATCTCAGAATAGGTTGGTGGAGTTTTAAAAATGTATTTCTTCAGTAATCATTTTGGACAAGTGTCACGTGAGCCAGGTGCTGCCAGTTGGACAGGGTGTCTCAAAAGTGGCCTGGCTGCACTGCTGTGTGTTTGTGTGTGGCAGATATCAGGCTACCTTCATTAAAATTGTTAGGTCTGAAGAGTGGTGGTTTATTCTCAAAAATGACTGAAAGGTCGGGGCCACCAGAATAGAATATATAGATTACATCAGGTATTAATAACTGACTATTTGTGAGTGAAGATGGACAGAAGACTGTATGTCAGCATGTGGGAATATGTGTTCCTGGGTGTATGTGTTTGAGAGAGAGAAGGAGGGGAAAGTCTTTTCTTTTCCTGTCCATTTTAATAAGTACATGAATAATTTTAACTATTTGTATTTAAGAATTCAGATAATTGTTTTCCTTGTAAAGTGCCTTGAGCTTGGATTCACAAGGGAAGGTGCTATAGAAGTTCCACTATTATTGTTAATATTAATATAATTATTGATTTTCGTATAACTACTGCCACAGAACTCAACAACAACCTCTCAATAACTCTTCAATTCCAGGAGCTGCGTTCACAAGGTTTCAGACATTGCGTCTGAAGAAAATATTCCCGGCAGCTTTGGGGGAACAGCTCATCAGCTACGGCAGCTGCCAGTTCCCCACTCTGGGCTTTGTGGTGGAGCGCTACAAACAGGTCATGAACTTCATCCCGGAGCCTTTCTGGAAGATCAGAGGTGACTTGTGGGGCCGCAGAGCGGCTCGACTTTTTCTGCTTTGTTCCAGTAAAAATAATAGCATTTGTATAGCGCAAATCCCCGCTCAACAGCAAGCTCTATGCGCTTCACAATCTATACTATTACCCCAGCCGACCTGAGAGCTTTCTGAAACAAACTCAACTTCCTGGGGAGCATACAGTGCGAGCAGTCATTTATAAGCGCTAAAACACTAACATACTGACAGTATAAATAGTATCCTGGTCGCACGGCTGCCAACTGAGTATAAAGTTAAAAAAACGCAGGTAATACGTTGTAATACGTTTCTGAGGGTATGAGTATGGAAGTCTGTTTTTGTGTCAGAAAATAATATGTATTTTTTGTTTCTAGTATTGCTCCTCACAGACTTGCCAATGAGAAGGGAAAGTTATGAACTTTAAAGACAGGATTTACAAATAATGATAAGAACTAAACCAATAGGTCAATTGTAATTGTGTCTATTACCATAGTTACCTGCTTAGCATGGATTTATTAAATGAAAAAAAATGTGTGTGAAGTGTTTAGAAGGGGGCTACTTGGCCACTGCCCTCCATCTTGCCCAGCGCGGTGTGGGTCGATGGGGGTTTTTTTTTGATTTGGAAAAATTTGGATCATGTATTTAATTCCAATGTCATTATTATCCTGATAGGTTTCTGACAAGATGTGGCTATTGCTGAGGTCACTCTTACTGTGTCTGTCTCAAAACACTGTCTTTGGGTTTGACAGTATTGGATAAGCGGTTGAAATATCGTTCTTCTATACTTAATGGTCTGCTTCTCAGCTGCTGAAGAACTTTTGTTTTTTGTTTCTTTAATTTTTGTCCGGGTACTTTAGTTTTTCGTTTTTGTATTTGTCTCTAATTAGTGATTTATTTGATCATCATATCTTTTTACTATGCATTTTGCTTTTTTCCCACAATAATGTTTATTTTTCGTTTTGTTTAACTTTTTAAGAGTTTTAAAAGAGGAAGAGCTAGGACAAGTAGGAATAGAAAGAAAGAATTTAGCCATGTATAAATACCCGTCGCATGTGGTGAAGGAATTACTTCAGTTTGCACTGAGTATGAGAGTTGCTGATGAGTATACTAGCCTTGTAATACATTGGTCCCTGTGATTTTCCTTGGGTGGTTGACGAGTGCACCGGTGTACTCCGTTTGTCTTGTCAAACGTCTGTTGTCCTGATCTCTCCTTTTTTGTGTTTGTTACTCTTTTGTAACGCCTCTAATCTTCGGCACTTATATGACCTTATAATTCTGCGAGCGCTGTAAAACTCTTACTAAATTTAAAAAACTACTCTCTGACATCTGCCTCAGTTGTGTAAGATGGAATCTGTAAAGATATGCTTACAATTTTTTAATGTCAGATTATATGGTGGTTGGGGAAAGTAAGGGGGGGGGTGGTTAGATCTGAAATCACGGGGACCGATGTATAGTGAAACTGTCCAATGTTCCAACGCCTCTCGTTGATATAGCAAAATCTGCTGTGCTGTTTTTTCTCTTCAGTGACACACACCCACGATGGTGTCAAGGCGGACTTCAGCTGGAAAAGGTAAGACAGTAGTCGAGATTTCATCAGTGTGGCCTGTTTGATTTCATTTCTAACAGGATCCCAAGTTTGCCCTTACCAAAAAAAAAGAAAGAATTTAGGTTGTTTTTTTCTGCCCCATCTCATCAACACAATTTATGGCAGACAGGTATTTTTGTTCATATTTTCCTCACAGAGCAGGCAATTGGAGGGAACTTTGTGCAGATTTCATAGCTGCAAGTCTCAAATATCGAAGCTTCTAATTTTTTTGCTCCCTAATTATATAATTAATCCTCTCCAGGATCCATAAAAGGTTAGGGTTGGCTTGCTGATCGTGCCAGTCATCAGCTGGTTGGGTATTCTTCAAGACTATGAAATGGTGCTAGCACTGAATGTGCTGTAGAACAGAGACATGCGCAATATGAATGCAGTTATTATTATTATTTATTATTATTATCTTTATTGGTAAATAAATATTACAAAATTATGTTCTTAAAACTGTTGTTTTAATTTTGATAAGGTCTTTCCATTATTCAATGCTCACGACAGTATTTTGCCTTTTAGCTTCTTTAACCCTATCCGTACGTCGTGTTTTACTATCGTATCCATACAACGTGGGGAACTCTGTGCTCCCACTTTCCAAAGAGGAAATTTACTCATTAATCCGATCCGTACGCTTTGCATAGCAGTCTGTCAAAATGATTTTTTGAGAAGTGCTGAAAGTTTCAAAGAGATTTTCACACTAGAAGTATTCTAAAATGTGAAGAATACAACCCCTGGGGTACAAAATGACCCCAGGTGTATGGATAGGGTTAAAATATTTTTGGGGCAATGCAGTATGATTTTGAAACCAGAACATTTCAAATTTTTTTCTTTACATTCACAGAAATCGTCTTTTTGATTATCTTGCGTGTCAAGTTCTATTTGACCAATGCACTGAGGTAAGTTTGGTTCGTCCTTGGGGTTACACCGGGTGGACTTGAAATCAACATTTACCTTTTTGGGTGGAGTAACTTGAGTTTTCGTTAGAGTTTTTTAAAGTTTTAGTAAAGGTTTTTACGGCACTCGCAACTGCATAAGGTCATATGAGCGCCAGAAGATTAGAGGTGTTACAAGCGAGTAACAAACATAAAAAAGAAAAAGGGGAGATAAGGACGATAGATGTTTCATAGGAAAGAAGAAGCAAACCACATCAGAGCACCCACCAATCACCCACTTGGAAGTTTTACAGCATTTGCAACACAAATAGGTCGTAAAAGCGCTGAATGTTAAATGTGTCACAAAGAAAAGTAGGAGGCGAGATAAGGACAAAAGGACGTTTGATAGTGAGGTGTAGTTTGCTCTTTGTGTCTCATCAAACATCTATCGTCCCTATCTCTCCTGCTTTTCTTTATGAGGGGTCACTTGGTGGTAACACCTCTAATCTTTGCCACTTCTACGACCTGTTTGTGTTGTAAGTGCCGTAAGACTCCTACTGAAACTGAAATTTTCTCTCCGTGCAGTTTTCTGCTTGTCTGATTGAGACGACAAACAGTTATGTTGTATAAGAATTTGTCATCTGGGAAATGTCTTCAGATTATGTTAACAGAATTAGAAAATATGTTGACAAGCTTCTGTCCTTCTGAAACAAACCAGCTTATGTCCTATTGCAGTTAGGTGTTTTGCTGTTGCACGCAGAAGACCCTGGCACAATTTTGGTTTGAAAAGTGAGGAGAATTTTTATCGTGTATCTATTTTTCTGCTGGTATATTGTATCCATCTCAACCGCGGTTGGTCCTGATTGACAAATAATCCCAATGATTTCAATTGTGTTGATAGGGGTTGTAAAAACAATAAAGAAAAGAATTGATAAAGAACATTCTTTTTAAAAAACTAAATGAATGTTTCCTTGTTGATAACAACATAAATACATAGATATATATCTACATGTAGAAGTGTTTGTGTCCCCCCCCCCCCCCTCTCAGAGCCCAGTGGCCACAGTGGTGGACGTGAGGAGCAAGAGCAAAAGCAAGTGGAGGCCGGCTGCTTTGGACACTGTGGTGAGTGAGCTTGTTTTTTTTCCTCCTCCATCTCCTCCTCCTCCTTGCTCCCTCTCCTTTTTCCATTGCTCCTTCTCCTGTGACTCGCGTTCCTCCTCCTCTTCTTCCTCTGCATCTTGCTCCTCCTCTACCTCTCGCTCCCTCTCCTTTGTCTGTTCCTCCTCCTCAGACTCCGGTTCCTCCTCCTCACCTTCCTCTGCATCTTGCTACTGCACATTTCAGCAATCTGAAGTCCAGATTTCTAAAATTGTCCAGACTGTACAGGAAGTGTGGGTCATTGTTTTTATGTCTGTTGTGTGTTCCTGACATTTATTTATCTTTCAATCTCTTTGTGCCTGTCATATTGCACTTCATAAAAATATAGTCTAAGTCTTGATCCAAAATGTATTAGATAATAAGATTTGTGAATTTGAGTTCTTGTGCGTCCATTCCACAAGGTCCAAAAAGGTCTGGATTTTAATGTGTACTCAGTTCACACATTTGCTTTTTTATTCTTATATTTAAAAGAAAAATTTGTTTAATGCTGTGCTACCTATTCTTTTTGAACATCAGGAGCTGGAAAAAATTGCTTCTCGTAAGCTGAAGGTGAATGCCAAGGAGACGATGAAGATAGCGGAGAAGCTGTACACACAAGGCTTGATCAGTTACCCGCGCACGGAGACCAACATGTTCCCCAAGGAGATGGACCTGGTCAGCTTGGTGCAGGAGCAGACGCGGGATCCCAACTGGGGAGGTATGGATAATTCAAGACACCCACGTGTTTAAGACAAGACAACCACTTTTCCTCTCCACAATAGGAAGCCATCGTAGATAATTTCAGTCATATGGCAAAAAGTGTTGTGTGTTTTCATATCTGGAAATTTTGTGGGCCAGCTGTTTAGATGTGTGGGTGGTTGGTGGGTGCTCTGGTGTGGTTTGCTCCTTCTTTCTTAGGGAACATCTATCGTCCTGATCTCTACTCCTTCTTTTTTGTGTTTGTTACTCACTTGTAACACCTCTAATCTTCGGCACTTATATGACCTTATTGTGTTGTAAGTGCCGTAAAACTCTTACTAAAACTAATAAAACTGTTCAGATGTACTTAGCTTAAAATTTAGAAATTTAAATTTGCTGTTTTGTTGATTTGGCAGGGCTTTTGAAATGAAGTAGTTAGATAGAGTCTTCGGCCACTACAAAGTCTTGTGTTCTGAAACTGGCTACGTTGTTCGTCTTGTGATAATGACTCACTTCCTGAGATGTGTTATTGACCCATTTTAGGTAGTTGGTGGGTGCTCTGGTGTGGTTTGCTTCTTCATTCCTGTCAAACATCTATCGTCCTTATCTCTCCTCCTTCTTTTTTGTGTTTGTTGCTCTCTTATAACATCTCTGATCTTGAGCACTTATATGACCTTATTGTGTTGCAAGTGCAGTAAAACACTTACCAAAACTTAACATTGACTCATTTCATATTGAGCACTAGATTCTTTTTAAATGAAGGAAGAAAGTGAGCACATCGGCATTGCAACCTAAGTTCCCTTTCTCTTCGTTTTGCAGAGAGCTTGCTGCTGAGTTGGATATGAACTTTATAAATGCTATTTATCATTTTTTTTATTAGTAATGTTATTTCGTCTTTTAGCTGCTTCCAAGGAGCGTTTTTTTTGTGAGTTGTGTTCAGTTTTATGCAACCATAGCATATGGGCTCTGATTTCACTTCACCTGGCTATATCGGTTTGTTTCTTTTCTGGTCAAGAATCTGTTAATGCCTCATGCCTTTCCTTCTGACAGTTTTCTTGCTCCTTAATATACATTTATCTCTCTTTTGTAAAAATTGTTAAACTTATGGAATTGAAGCTGCATGAATTGCTTGTGTGCATTTTCAGAATTCGCTCAACAAGTTTTAGAAAATGGCCCACATCCCCGCAATGGATCAAAGACGGACAACGCCCATCCTCCCATTCACCCTCTCAAGTATACTGCTTCTTTGCAGGTCAGTTGTTCATTCACTCTTTAATTAACTCTTTTTCGTCACTTGCTGCAATAATGTGACGGTGAAAATTCTCCGTTCCCGTCATCTGGCACAGCTCTGCACCAGGCCCGAGAAGTCTGTTGCAGTCACTCTCCTGGCTGGGTGACCAGATGGGGTATTTTGTGCTGCTGGCTGTGTGACTGCAAATTGTTAAACCCCGAGTTTTTCCACCGTTTCCCCGAATTTTTTCTACAGTCACCTAAACCTGGTGCACCATGTCTCATTATAACCCCAAAAACTTGCCTCCAACTTCTAAATGGCGGAAACAAAGGCTTAGTCGTTACTAAAAAAGCTTGCTTTGGGAATAGTTCTGAAACACAAGAAGAAACTAGCGCTAAATGAGAAAAAACAGTTGTCACTAGTACTGGACTCTCCCAGCCTCTGATGGGGAACAGAACTATTTCCGCCTGACGCTCCCAACGTCTGGTGGAGTTTAAAGAGATAACATGAGCAAGAATATACAAACTTTAAGAAAAACCCTGGAATTATGCTGACTTTAGATAATTTATTCTTTGATTGATTCCACGGCCAGAGGAGAATCTGAGAGCATTCAAGAAAAGAAATGAACCATGATCTCATATGACTGTTTCAGATCTGGCATTATATGATTGTTTTAATCATGGCGTGTAGCAGTTTTCAGTTTGCTTTTTTTTTTTACATCAACTCATCACAGTGTAGGTACGGTAGAATCTGCTCTATCGGCCACCTGTGTAAGACCATTTCCTGGACAAATGACCACTTTCTACTTTCCCCCTTTGCTTTTTTTATGTATATAATAATGGCACTATCAAAGACATCCACCCTATAAGACAAGACAACCACTTTTGTCCTTGGCAATGAGAAACCATCTTGGATAATTTCAATCATAATTTCACTTTTTCTATTGAGGCTGTGTGTGTTGTCGGTTACAGTTTCTATGTATTTAACCGCTCGTTTTGTTCCTAATCCTTGTACTACCCTTTCGGGGCGGTGCCACTGTGACAGAAGTGTCTTTAGACCGTTCTCAAAGGGGGGGACATTGACATGTTCTTATACACAGTAGAATTGTAAATGGGCTGATTTATCAATGTCATGCTCATACTGTGCTGGAACAACGTAGGGGGAACTGCTACTTTTTCATACCTCATACTTACTATGGTAATTTTTCCTCTACTTCTTTTGTATGTTTGTCACACTCTTGTGATCCGCTATTTCCGAGGCGCCTTGATAGTCGAAGCAGACTTTGTGCTGTTGAAGCTAGAGAGGGGAGCAGAGTAAGTTTGATTCCCTGTAAGGACTTCTCTGTTGACATCCACCCCTTGGCGCTCATATGACTTAATGCAGTTGCGAGCACCGTAAAACCTCTACTAAAACTTCCCCTAATCTTTGTGTGACAGGGCAACGAGCAAAAGATCTATGAGTTCATCGTGCGTCATTTCTTGGCCTGTGTGTCCCAGGATGCTCAAGGTCACGAGACGGTTGTGGAGATCGACATCGCTCAAGAGAGGGTGAGTGGATTTGTTTGGTTTATGTAGACGTAATTGGAGAACAGACGAATAAACTATTATTATTATTTTGTAACTGAAAAGATTCACACCTCATTCAAGGTATTGTATTTCAAAGCAAACTTGCAAGTTTTCTATTTTTGAAGAACTGAGTATCTGATGTTGGGTTGATGATGTGTGTGATTTACTCAAACATTGGACCAAGTGTGAATCTATTGTTGGTTTGTGGCATTACAGATGATGTTATATTTGAATATCGAAGAATGATAGATTGTAAATGGGGAAAATATTGGTTCATTTTGGTTATTTGTCAGTGGGGATGTCTAGGCTTTGTCAAAGTTTCATATATATATTTAACCCTTTTGATACAACATGTACTAGTGTGTCAAAATATGTGGCTTTGAAGGGGTTAAAGTATAGCTTTTTTTTCTGTCCTCTCAACTTTCAGTTTCATGCTCAAGGTTTGATGATCCTGGCCCGAAACTATTTGGACGTCTACATATATGAAAAGTGGAACGCAAAAGTGAGTACCGGACTATGATTTGTATTTAATGTTTGTAAATTCCTGTATTCTGACTGTTTTCCGACAACATAGGTTGGATTGGATTTAATGGATTTTGACTGTTAAAATCGGGAGATCAAATGGAATTGGAGGTCGCTAGTGGCATAAAAGTTTTGTGTAGCGTTCTTTCTACATACTATAGTACCACCGTTTGTAATTATTTTTGTGAAGGACATAACAATTTGAGACCAAGTGTTTGACTTAGTTTGGCAGGTATATGATCGCCCGTGTTCTTTCTTTAAGGTATGTATGTGATTGAAAGATGAAGTAACCTGGTGTCATTTTTTTTTTCTCGCCTGAAATCTAGGAAATTCCTCTGTACAGTCAAGGAGACCAGTTCGAGCCAAATGCAATTGAGGTAAGAGGAGCCCACTTGTAGCCTATCCCTGTTAAGTGGTTGTACCAGGGTAGCTCCTGTTTTCTTAGAACGGCAGTTGTCTTAACTTATCTTTTTTGTTCTTATTTCTGTCTGGTTGGATAAGATAAGATAAGATATATCTTTATTGTTCAGATCCAAGCCCATTGATTTGGTCTTTCAAAAAGTACACACACGCGCACGCACACGCACACACACACACACACACACACACACACACACACACACACACACACACACACACTCGCACTCGCACTTGAAAGATTGATGCAAATTATTTAATGGGAAAGAATTTATGAGCTGAAATATTGGGTTTTCAAAAGATTGATGTTATGTCTACTTAATTTTCATCTTCTTTCTTTATCTTATTCTTATGTAAGTAGATATGAATGTTTTCAAGTGTAGTGCAGATGGTTAGGATAGGCCACTTGTCTGTTTGTCTGTCTGTCTATCCATCTGTTATTCTGTCTGTCTTCCTGGTTCCCTTCTCTAAATGACCTGTATTATGGAGATGTGCTTCCATGAGACTATTTTTTTAGTATCCTTCTATTGTTTCAGTCTCTTGGTCCTGCTGTTTCTTAACAGTGAATGACAATTGTTATCATGTAAACACTTTTTCTTTTACTCTGACTGACTCACTTATATAATGCGTTCTTTCAGCTAGCTGAACCAGACTATGTTTTTTTATAGTTTTGTTTCCCCCACTGTCCTCCCCAGATCGTGGCCGGAGAGACGAGCGCCCCGCCTCTTCTGTCGGAGGCAGACTTGATTGCCCTCATGGAGAAACACGGCATAGGTGAGTGGGCCGCGCTGAGTCTTGTCTCTGGCGTTGGTGGTGGGGAGTAGAGAAACAACACTTGGCTTGTTGCATCCTCACTTGGAACGAGCTTGGAAGGATGGCTCAGGACAGAGATAAATGGAAGGAGCTTGTATGTGGCCTATACCCTGCCAGGGGTGAAAGGCATTGATGATGATGTTGCATCCTCGTTTTTTTTTCGTGGGGGGGGGGGAGTTTTTATTTCCATCTGTGTTTCTCACACTCATATGACTGAATGCAGTTGTGAGCGTAGTAAAACTCTTACTTACCTAAAGTTTCAAATGTTAAAAAATGTATAATGTAAGTGTTTTATGCCCCCACATTGACACAGTTAAGATCATTTAGGAGGCGGGCTTCCGACTCTTCCTGTAAGGGCTAACACCTGGCTGAGAGGGATACAACATCCCAGCAGAAAGACAGAGATACTGTATTAAAGTATTCTCCTCACAAGAATTGAACTAGGGTCTCCTGAGTGTGTCTACAAAATACCTAAAAACCACACCACCAAAGCCAGTTTGCTCGACTCTGCTTGGAAAGTTTTTCATGTTTACTGTACAGCTACTGATATTTTGAAATGTGTCTGTCATAAACCCGGTTTGCTGTTGGAAAAAACTTCCTTTAGGCCATTCCCAAAGAGGGGATATTATTAACATGTTGTTATGCACAGTAGAATTGTAAATGGGCTGATTTATCCATGTCATACTCGTACTGTACCGGAACAACATAGGAAGAACTGCTGCTTTTTCTTTCCTCATCCTTACTATCGTCATTTTTCCTCTACTTCTTTTGTATGTTTGTCACACTTTTGTGACCCGCTATTTCCGGGATGCTTTGATAGTCAAAGCAGATTTTGTGCTGTTGATGCTAGAGAAGTGAGCAGAGTAAGTCTGATTCCCCGTTTGGACTTCTCTGTTGATCCTCCCCTTGGTGCTCATATGACCCTATGCAGTTGCGAGCACCGTAAAACCTTACTAAAACTAAACTAAAAAACTTCTACAACTTTGGCCTTGACCTTCCTCAGGCACCGATGCGACCCACGCGGATCACATTGAGACAGTGAAGTCTCGCATGTACGTCGGACTGCGGCCTGATGGGAAGTTTGTCCCAGGAGAGCTGGGAATGGGCCTGGTGGAAGGTAACTGATCTGTTAGCAAACCTGCCAACTTTCACGATTTTATTGGGAAATTAGCAAATTCAGACTGCATTTGCCGAGATCCTGATAATATCATTTTCCCTATTAATTCAGCCATAGAGAAAAGGTTATTTTCTTTCCCAAATTTGCGAATTCTGCTGGGAACGAATGAAGTCAGGAAAGGTATTTCCTGGATGTTGTGCTTTTTGAACGATAGCAGTGGTTTTTTCTAGGTGTGGAGTCTGCCTCTTTGTCCTTCTTGTTTCTATATGATATATAATTTAAATTTTCTATGTATATCTGCATGTGTTTTTACAGTCCTGTATAGCCAAGAAAAATTCCCCTCTGGGATAATAAAGTATTATCTTTTCTTGTACTGCTGAACAATTTGCCTTTTTAGACATAATCAGCCAAATGATACACATGGCTATAGCTATATCCTCCTCAAATGTTTTGCGGGATTTTTCAACATCAATCTGGGAACAAGTTGAAGCTTGACAATGTTAGACTCGCAGATGTGATCAAGTGGTAATTTTCCTGATTTCAATCTTTGAAAAGTTGTCTGGTCTGGGATTGAGACTGGTAGAAGATAGTGGATCCATTTTTTTTCAAAATAAAATAATATTCCAGACATATTTTGGAGGAAGCTGTGGTTTTTGTTTTGAAATGGGAAGACTTGAAGTACCAGTATTTTTCTGTTTTGCTCTTCATTTCTTCTTGTGTGCTAATGTTATTTGACATGAAGAAAACGTTGCGGGTGGTTGACGGGTGCTCTGGTGTGATTTGCTCCATCTTTCCTATCAATCATCTTTCGTCCTTGTCTACTCTCCCTCCTTTTTGTGTTTGTTACTCTCTTGTTACACCTCTTAGTTTAGTTTTAGTTTTAGTAGAGGTTTTACAGCGCTCGCAACTGCATAAGGTCATATGAGCGCCAGAAGATTAGAGGTGTTACAAGAGAGTAACAAACATAAAAAAGAAGGAGGGGAGATAAGGACGATAGATGTTTGATAGGAAAGAAGGAGCAAACCATACCAGAGCACCCGCCAACCACCCACATATGAGCTTATTGTGTTGCAAGTGAAGTAAAACTCTTACTAAAACTAAAAATGAGAAAATGTTTCTCAGAAATGGTGTCTGTCAATGTCTAAGAAATCAGATAGGTTGTGGGTGTGCTTGTGTGGTTTGCTTCTTCTTTCCTATCAAAAGTCTATCACCTTTATCTGTCCTACATTCTTTTCTTTGCATGCTACTTCTAGTAACACCTCTAGTTATCTGCACTTATATGACTTAATTACGTTGCAAGTGCCATAGAACTCTTGTTTGAATTCAAACTAAAACTAAGCACATTGGTTTCTAGTTTTGTTAAAACTAAACTAAAACTAACCACATTGGTTTCTAGTTTTCCAGCAGAAGTGGCCACATGGAGTAGTTAATACTTTGCCGTCACATCTCGCTGATCGGCGAAGTTTACCACCCAGTTTCTTTAGATTTTCCCCAAAATGCCTCTGCCTTTGATGGCAAAGGTTTTTACTATATAAGCCTTGTGATGGCAAAGTGTTAATCCTGAACCTTGTCCTGAACTTCTTCAGGCTACGACAACATGGGCTACGAGATGTCCAAGCCAAATCTCCGCGCTGAGCTGGAAGCTGACCTCAAACTGTAAGACTTGAGTTCAAACCTTGCATTTGAACTTAACTTGTGGGTGGTTTGCTCCTTCTTTCCTATCAAACATCTATCGTCCTGATCTCTCCTCCTTCTTTTTTATGTTTGTTACTCTCTTGTAACACCCCTAATCTTCGACACTTATATGACTTTATCGTGTTGCAAGTGCCGTAAAACTCTTACTAAAGCCAAAACTGACCTTAACTTGTCTTTCATACAATACTGACAGGATGGCAGATATTGATACTTTCCTGTTAGGACTTCATTTGTCTACTCACTTTACGAGTAGGTTTCTTATGTCTTCTTTTCTCCCCCTGCACAATCGTATCAAAACGAGGCCATCTGAAAAATAACATTGTGCATCTGATGTGTTAACTTTTGCCAACATAACTCGCTAAAACAGCACCTGGACATGGATGGCTGGTGCCTCTATAAATAAATCATTGATCATTGATGAACTCTACCCCAGAATTACAAAGTTCTGTCTGCTCAGTACCTAGTTTTGAGAAATTTCACGTGAACAATTTTGAGTTTCACATGTTAAACTTTTTCTAATGCAATTCTCTGAATGTCTTGATAGCGACTCCGAATGATCTTACAATTTTGACAGACCAGATATAACATTTGGTTTTATAGATCATGATTTTGTATCTCAAAACGGCCAAAAATGTCTAATAGAACTTTGTGATTCTAAGGTAGCAATAAGGTTATGATAAGGTTAGTAGACTGTTAGTTGTTACTTTTTATAGTTTTGATTCACGTTCTCGAAGACAGTCCAAAATTCTTCAGCGAAGGAGAGGTTCGGGATAGTTTATCAGAATAGTACTGACAACTTCACAGTGATATCTTATACCCTTTCGGTGATGATAATAATAAAAATGGCTGCATGAGTGATTTTGATGATGATGAAAAATGACTTTGAACTTATCGGGTCGGTCTGTTTTGGTATTTACCAAGAAATGTGTCCACCTACCACACATGGTTGAGCACTTTTTCTCTTTAGACTCAAATGTACATTGGCTTTGAAGTCTGTGGCGTCGGTGGCCTAGTGGTAAGACTACCGGGCCCATAATTGTGAGATTGCGGGTTTGGGGGGTTCGAGCCTCAGTTCGGTCCGACGTTGTGTTCTAGGGGAAGGCACTTTACACGAATTTCTTATTTGTCTCGGTCCTTTCGGAGATGGACGTTAAACACGTAGGTCCCGCCTCTTAAATAACGTAATAGTGTTGATAGGGGCATTAAACCTATACCATTTCACCATTTTCGTTTTGAAGTCTCAGGGAAAAATCTTTTTGTAAGCAACATTATCGTCTTATTTTAACGCTGTTTTTCCTGGTTTTCTTTCAGAATTTGTGATGGTCGCAAGTTTAAAGATGGTATGTGCAAACTTTTGTTTATTTGATAATTGTGGAGAAAATCATTGTAGATGAGTGTTGTTTTATCTCTACATGGTATGAATTTGAATTTGGTGCCTCTGTAAATAAATCATTGATGGTCTGGTATGAATTTGAAAAAGTGTTCCTGAATGAGATGGCAAATACTGAGCGCAGTTTATTTTTTACTCTTTTGCGTTTGGAATTAATCCTTTTATTTTTTTTACATTAGTAATTGATCGTACAGTGTTATTTGTTTGTAGCTTATTACCGCCAGTCCTATACAGCTTGTCTGTGTGAGATGCTCGTTGTTGTTGTGACTGGGCTAGTTATCAGGGATGCCGTTTTTCTGTTATTTCCGGGGTTTTTTTTCCTTATTTGGGGCATTGCCGTTCTTATTGTTGAACTGATATGATGTTGTTTTGTCACATTTATTGCTTCGTTGCTTGCTAAATCTAGTCTCGAAAAAAAAATTCTGTTATTTTAACAAAAGTCTAGTGGCTTTCGTGTGTATACTCTCGGGTCAAAATAGTCCAAAAAATTTTGTTTGTCTTCATAGGGCAGCTTGGAAATTTTGAACAAATTTTTAATTTTTGGCTTAACTTCTTTTATGTCCATACATAAAAACACATTTTCATGCAAATTTTATTGAAAAATTGATGAAAGGCTCAAAATATGTCACAGCTTTCACACAAGGGCCTGACTCCACCATGCCTTGACACATTTATGTTTTCAGCTAATTGGTTTTTTTTTTTAGATGAATTTAAACAGTAGGATGGAATTGAGACTTGTACAAAACATATTTTTTTGTGGGTGGTTGGTGGGTGCTCTGGTGTGGTTTGCTTCTTCTTTCTATCAGACATCTATCGTGCTAATCGCTGCTCTTTCTTTTTTGTGTTTGTTACTCTCCTGTAACACATCTATTCTTCCGCACTTATACGACCTTAATGTGTTGAAAGTGCGGTTAAACTCTTACTAAGATTAACTGTGTTTGTTCCTCTCTTGTAACACCTCTAAGTCTAATCTTTGGCACTTATATGACCTTATTCACACTCTATGGAACATTACAGCAACTGCAGCAGACTTGCACTTATCACTACATGGCATTGGACAGAAGGGCGAGAGCCCAGCTGTTGCTGGATCGATAACAACAACAACAACAACATATGACCTTATTGTGTTGCAAGTAAAACACTAAAACTATAAAAACTATTTACATTTTTAAAAATTGGTTTGTCCTCAGAGGTGCTGCAGGTTCAGGTACAGAAGTACAAGGAGGTGTTTGTCGAGGCTTGCAGACAGGTTAGTCGTCCACGCTTCTCTTTTTTAACTCTTTTTATCCTAGCCGTACCCCCACGGACTCTGTACCAGTCCTGGGGCCGCCGCGCCGTATGAGTCAGAAGTCGGTGCATATAGTTCAAAGTGCTAGATTTCTTACGTTTACTCTCAGATTTTGAGGAAATTCGGCAGTTATGTTAGAAATTCAAGGTAGTTTTTGTAAATGTATGTGGTTAGGAAATACACCAATAGCACAATGTAGATTTTGAGGTGTATTCCACCCTCGAACTTGACCCTGATTGCCGCGCCCACGACGTCCCATTGGATTTTATAGATCTAGATCTAGCCCTACCCATCGAGCACGAATTCCAGTACTGAGCCCTCCACCATGATCTGAATCGCTATTAGATAAGTCTAAGTCCTGTTTCTAATCATCCACAACGGAATTTTCGGCACTTATTTCAAAGTCACTTTCATCAAATTAGTATCATTCCCCCTCACAACCCAGCGCCACTTCAAAAAGTACTTCGTCGGTCGTGAATGTGCGTTTTCAAGACATCTTTCAAGCTTCTACACCCATCAAAAACAAAGATACTACTGTTCATTGGAAAATTAAAATATTCAGACAAAGCTAGCTTCGCCGTATTTGCGTATTTTGGTATTTACAAGCAGAACTAGCTTCTTTGACGTGACCGTATCGCTGTTTCGAGAATACTCGTAGCCCGGACTGGTCCTAGTTACGAGTATACTCGTAGCCCCATAAAAAGAGTTAATGTCCATTGTTCATTGTGTCAGGAAGCAACATCCCTGCATTCTGAACATGTCCATGTGGGTGGTTGGCAGGTGCTCTGGTGTGGTTTGCTTCTTCTTTCCTATCAAACGTCTATCGTCCTGATCTCTCCTCCTTCTTCTATTTTGTGTTTGTTACTCTCTTGTAACACCTCTAATCTTCGGCACTTATATGACCTTATTGTGTTGCAAGTGCCGTAAAACTCTTACTAAAACTAAGAACATGCCCATTGATGCTCTGTTTTTGGTGTTGAAAAGTCGGCAGCTATGTGTTTATGTTTTTGTTAGATGCTGCTTGAAAATTCCTGCAGGTTTTTGTTTATGAAGTGTCTTATATGGTGGGACAAGTGTGTCAAGTCTTCCTTTGTCAAAATGTTTACGATTCTCTTATTTTTCCACCAGGCTCAGAAGTTGGACGAGGCTCTCTCGGTCTATCTCGGCGAGGCGCAGACAGCCCCAGACTATGAAGGTTTGTAGCGTACAAAATGTTGATGTTCTATTTGTTAACTCACTCAACCCTAGGCCTACACTTCTGGGTTGTTAACTCTCCCAAGAGATTTTACCACTTTTGGAAAAATTGAAAAAAATAGGATTTTGACGTATTCTACACAAATTTGGTACACGTTTTATTCGATCCATTATTTGTGTGTATTGGAAATTTGAAGGCAAAATATGTCATAGTTTGTATGCAATACTCCGTGGAAAAAGGTCTAGATCTATATATACAGAGTCAAAAAGTGAAGAAAGGAAGTGCGTTCAAACTTTGCACCCCCTCACATGATTCACGGATATAGCTTTCTTTGTTCCACATTTGGGCTTTCACTTCTGGTCGTAGTCTGTTTCAAACAAAGAATGGGTACTCTTTCAATTAGGCTACTGTCTTCTCACAAAAGTAGTGTTTTTGGTCACGAGAGCGAAATTTTCCGCACCGATACTGTCTGCATTAGGGTTGGAGCGTTGCGCGCGCATACTGATATTATCGGCGTTAGGGCTGGGTGAGTGAAGTGTATTTCATAAGAGGATGTTTCGAAGTTGGTGGCAGCGGGCCAGTGGTAAAAAACCAGGGTGGATGGCAATAGACCTTTTCCTTTGGAGATGTTGATCAAAATCCTGTCCCAATGTGTATTTATGTATGTACTGATTTGTATTTTCATGTCCACATAGGGGCCTGCCTGTTTTGTTGTAACAGTAGATTTTTAAAATCAGTGTATGAATATGTGGGTGGTTGGCGGGTGCTCTGGGGTGGTTTGCTTCTTATTTCCTATGAAACATCTATCGTCCTTATCTCCCCTTTTTCTTTTTTTATGTTTGTTACACTCTTGTAACACCTCTAATCTTCTGGCGCTCATATGACTTTATGCAGTTGCGAGCGCCGTAAAACCTCTACTAAAAAAAAAAGTGCATGAATATATTCTAGCCGCGTGTAATTCTTGATTGTGCATGTGTTTGACATATCTGTGAACTGTTATTGTGAGTGCAATTTATTATTGTATTATTGTGTGAAATGTGAGGTGTGCTGACAAAATGAGTTACTTTTCACAATCCACAAATGCAGATCTTGGCCAAAAATCGACACTAGGGACACATTTCTAGGTTTTCTATTGATGCTATAGTCATCGAGTACTAAATGCCTTTTGTTATTTCATACTTATAAATTATGAAAACTTAACCTATAAGCATGATAATGTATCTATTTTCATAGGGCTTAAATCCGAGAAGTAACTCATTTTGTCAGCACGCTTCACATATGTGAGGTGAGCTGACAAAATGAGTTACTTTTCGGATTTCAGCCTTATGGAAATTGATACATCAACTTGATAGGTGAAGTTTGTACAATTTGCGAGCATGGAATAGTAAAAGACACAGTAAACTTGAATGAAAGGACATCAATTGAAAATCTATAAATCTGACCCCCAGTGTCGATTTTCAGCCGATATCTCTATTTTTGGATCGTGAGAAGTAACTCATTTTGTCAGCACGCTTCACATATGTTTCCCCAGAGATGTCGGTGGCAGCGCCGTCTATTGTGATGAAGTGTCCTCGCTGTGGTCAGCCCATGACGCTCCGGACAAAGAAGGACGGGAGAAGGTTTGTGGAGTGGAACGTGAAAATATTAATACTTCGGACTGCATAGTCGTAATTTTCTTATGAAAATATTACGTGTCATATGTTTGTAGTGTGTCGTTGTGAATTTCTTTTTGTCATGTTTTTCCATCTTGTATATATAAGATAAGATGATTGTTTATTGATCTCCACAAAGACATTTTCTGTGGAATGGCAAAAACATCGCACGCCCATGTACTCGTCACCACACTCTCTTGACTGAAACATGACGTTTGATATGCTCAAAGTAGATGTGGGTAGTTGGCGGGAGCTCTGGTGTGGTTTGCCTCCTCTAATCTTCGGCACTTATATGACCTTATTGTGTTGCAAGTGCCTTAGAACGCTTATTAAAACTAAAACTAAGGTTGGTATGGGAATTTGGTTTTCCCTGTTGTGTGTTAGATTAAATAATTATTTATTCATCTCCACAAAGACATTTTCTGTGGAATGGTAAATACATCAAACACACACACATACTCATCAACACACTGTCTTGAGTGAAACATGATGTTTTATTTTCCCAAAGTGGTCAAGTTAGAATACACCCCCCCCCCCCAGCAGAATGGAGCTGTTTTACCTAAAAAATTATTCCATTTTTTCCTGAAATGTCCAGTTTTTACATTGGATGTTCGAGCTATCCTGACTGCAAGGCGTCCATCTGGTTGCCAGAGACGGTTCTACAAGCCAGTATAACAGACGAGGTTTGCCAAAATGTGAGTCTTTTGTTTTACCATAACTATCATTGTCTCAAAATGTGAGTCTTTTGTTTTACCATAACTATCATTGTCTCAAAATGTGAGTCTTTTGTTTTACCATAACTATCATTGTCTCAAAATGTGAGTCTTTTGTTTTACCATAACTATCATTGTCTCAAAATGTGAGTCTTTTGTTTTACCATAACTATAATTGTTTCAAAATGTGAGTCTTTTGTTTTACCATAACTATCATTGTCTCAAAATGTGAGGCTTTTATTTTACCATAACTATCATTGTCTCAAAATGTGAGTCTTTTGTTTTACCATAACTATCATTGTCTCAAAATGTGAGTCTTTTGTTTTACCATAACTATCATTGTCTCAAAATGTGAGTCTTTTGTTTTACAACAACTATTATGGTCTCGAACTTACAACCTGCCACAGGTCTTGAGGGCAGATAGTATTTTTAATTGTGGAGTTTATTTGTGTGCCCTTCTTCGGCTGCGACAAATATAACATATTTAATGATAATGATAATAATAAATAAGATAACATTTATGTTGTGCAGCACCATTAAAAGAAAAAAATGCCTAGTGCGCATTGCAAAGAGACATCACATTTTAAGATTACTTGGTGTATACCTAGGGCATAGTATAATGTGTATAGGTTACAAATTTCTTTATATTTCTGTATTTCTTCACGAACTTGTTTGCCAGAACCAGATTTTCAATGAGTGCGAAGTCTATTTAAAAATGAGCCTAAGAAAAAAATAAGTCTGATTGTTTTCTAGAGTCTAGTTGACAAATGAACTCAAACAGTTCTGAATCAAATTTGGCTGTTTCAGGCATAGTGGTGATCTTTTTTTTCCTTTACAAAAGTCATTATCATCATCGTTTCATCATTCTAGTCTTTGTTGCTGTCATTATCATTTAGAATGTGTGTTTTGTTTCTCTTATATTTGTAAAGGTAAAGGAATTTCATAGTTTTATCCCAGTGGAGCGTAGTCTTCTTCTTCTCGATCACATCGCACTTGAAGTCTGGTATCTGTCATAAATTGGGCCGTCCTGCTCAGTTCATCTGTCGGCCCGTATAGCTTCTCTTGCAGCGTCAGTGGGGTTGGCCACGTTTCCTGTCTCAGGGCCCTGTGTGTCTTGCAGTGGTGAAGGATGTGTTTAACAGTTTGGTCCGCACTGGCATTTTGGTGATTGTGCAAGTTGCAAAAGCTTATTCACATCTCGTGGAAACACAAGGTTATATAGATAGGCATATGGGACTGGCACATCTTGACTCCTCACTATTTTTCTTTGTTTATCTCACTGTTGACTGTTTTTTTTTGTTGTTGTTTTTTTTTCTGTGACAGTGTAACCCCGGGCCTGTGATGAGGCTGAGGTTGAAGTTCAAGCCTGGAAGTGTTCCTGTGACAGTGTCCACCGAGTGAGTTCTTATGTCATCATCATCCGGTGCCTTGCCGACTGGCGTGGGCGATCATGGACCTCCACTTCCCTCTGTCTTGCATTGCAGCAATGGTGTCTGTCGTTCTTGCTGCTCCCAGCCATGTTGTCAACTTGTCCAGTATCTTTTCCCTCTGTCTGCCTCTGCCTCTCTTTCCCTCAAACTTGCCTGTTGTTACAGTATTCTCCAAAGCTTCTTTCCGCATTGTGTGCTTATGTACCAGTAGTTAACTGTAACAGTGTTCACCGAGTGAGTTTTTATGTAGGCAGTCGCTGACTTCATCATGGACATCTTTTGATCAGATTAGATGGTGTCAGTTTGATAGGACTGGACAAGGGACAAAAACAAACAAAAAACTGAGCGAGTCCTGTCAGCCAAAAGGCCAAGTGACATAATGGGACAAAATAGAGCTTTTTAGGTATCCTATTTCCGACATATTTATTTTGTCATGTGTGTTCAGCAGCCAGAGCACGTTGTCTGTAGATGACCGAACATTTTTGTATTATCGATGTTTGTATTAAGATGATGTTTGGCTGCTGTAAGTTGGGGGTTTCACGCTCGCCCCGCAAGAAAGTGAAGATTTATGCGAATACCTCCGTACTCCCTCTTTCTCGGCTCATAACTCTATTAGTTCTTGGCCAAGCATCATAAAACCGACTTGAAACGAGAGATTTATGTGTGCTTTTTGTTTCCATGTTAGTTTCAATGGGGAGAGAAATACGTAACATTATAGATTGATGAGTTAAAACTACAAGGGTCGTTACATTTCCCCCCTCAGCTACGTGGGCTGTGTGGCCGGCTGTGACGAGATGTTAACCGAAGTCCTCGGGATCCGACCTCTGGCCGCTGCGTCGTCACAAGGTAAGGAGGAGGATCCAGGTTGGGAACATAATTTTACTTTGGGTTTATTTTGGGGGGGGGGGGGGGATTTGGTGGGTTTTTTTCAATCATTTAAGATTCCTTAAGTTGGTGGTTGGCGGGTGCTCTGATGTGGTTTCCTCCTTCTTTCTTACCAAACGTCTATCATCAATATCTCTTCTCCTTCTTATCTCTGTATGTTATTTTCTAGTATCACCTCTAATCTTCAGCACTTAATATTTGTGTTGCAAGTGCTGTAAAACTCTTATTAACACAGCTATATGGTGCTATGTAAGGTACAGTTGAAATTGTCCAAGATGACACACACACACACACACACACACCCCCCCATTGTCGAAGAGTGGTTATCTGAGATAGGTGGACCTCATGGACAGTCATTATATTATTGAAAATAACAGAAGGGGAAGTGCTCATTTTTAACAGCTTATTTATTGTCTTGGTCAGTTTTGACTGTGTCTGATATGGCCAGTGTATCAAGAAATATTAAGAAATAAATAACTCCATGTCTACGTGGTGGTCATGTGAGTTACGCAATTGTATGAAAGCAGCCAATGTTCAAAAGGTTGGGGTCATCGCAGACGATTCATCTCCATAGTTGCTTCCCTCACCCCCACCCCACCCACCTACCTCTCGGGATCTGCCTTAAAATATTTTTCAAGAGTATTGTCAATGACAATCTTTTTTCATCTCGCCGGGAGAAATTTGTATTGGTTGTTAACAATTACACTGGTTTAACAAAGTTTGTTTGCACTTACACATGCACACTTTACTCTAATGTCAGAGAGTTGTTGTGCTATTTTTAGCTTTTGGGCTTTGTTTGTATCTGAAACAGCTTCCCGCCCAAACATGCCAGGTGCCGCACAGAGGACTCCGACAGCCGGCGGCAACAACAGACAAACTGGCACCTCGTCCAACAACTCACATGCCAACAGCAGCAGAGGGGGCAGCGGTGGGGTTCGAACTGGATCAACCGGCTCCAGCAACTACTCAAGGTCAGTCCACACAGCCTCTCCGAGTCTCGGCGCGACCAACAACTGTGCGGGGAACACCAACAACAACTACAACAACAGCTACAGCAACAGCAACAACTACAACAGCAGCAACTACAACAGCAGCAACAACACTCCCGGCTCCAACAGAATGGTGGTAAACAACAGAGACGCTCAAGCCTCGGTCAGGCCTTTCTTCAACAACAGTTTCACCTCCGGCCCCTTGCGACCAGCCGGCCCGCGACCACATACTCCTGCTCACAGATCCCCGCTAGCCTCCGTCCATGGTGCTAATAATAGCTACGGAAACACTGGCCAGGGCAGAGGTCGGGCTCCGTTTGGTTCTGCGGGTGTTTCCGGGAGTGGAGGTGACGGCGACGCGGGGGACAGAGACAGAGCCATTGTGTGCAACTGTGGGAACGACGCTATACAGCTGACTGTCAGAAAGGAAGGACCCAACACAGGTAATATACGGTCGCTTTTAAGCACAAGGGGGCTATCCCGAAAAATGCAGTTTTGAGAAAATCAAAGGTAAAGTTTTTGCCCCTTGTTCAGTTTCTTTAAAAGACAAGGAGAGTTTTCTCTATAACCAATCAAATATGCACACCAATGAAACCAAACTTCTCCTATAGGTAGGGCAATGCCCACTTTTGGTGTTGGTCAAGCTCGCTTGTCCTTAAAAGCGACCAGTTGTATGTTCATTTTCTTGTTTTTTTGTCCTGTGTTTCTGACTGGCGTTGGTGGTCTAGTGCTTAGGCTACCAGACCTGTAATCATGTGATTGCGGGTTAGGGAGTTCGAGCCTCAGCTCGGTCCGATGTTGTGTCCTTGGGAAAGGGGGCGCTTTACACGAATTTCCCACTTGGCTCAGTCCTTTCGGAGACGGACGTTAAACTCCGAGGTCCTGCCTCTTAAATAACCTAATGGTGTTGATAGGGGTGTTGAACCTATACCATTTTTTTTCTCTTGTAGAAATGTTATTTTGTCTGTAGCCATTCAGGTTCCAGTATAATTGTGAGTTTACAGTGGACGCATTATTGTCTCTAGTTTCTCTGCATGATAATTTTTTCCGTAGCAATTTTGTACGCATATACAAATATTTACACATCCATAATATCATGTGCTTCGTGTCCACCTATCAAGTTATTTTAGAATGTGATATCTCTTTGAATGTAATGCACATTGGGCATTTTTTTAAAAATGGAGATGCACATCATAAATACTATTTATTATTAGTATTTATTATTATCCCTCCCCAGGTCGCCAGTTTTATAAATGTTCCGGTCAGAACGGCAGCAACTGCAACTTCTTCATGTGGGCGGACGAAGGAGACGGAGGTCAGAGGTCAAGGTTAGTGTGGGACGGCAGTTGTTGGCAATTGTTTTTTCTCTTTCTTCTGAATTTTTATCACAATGTAGATGGTGCTTTTGTGTGTGTTGGTTAGATAATACTGTATGTTTTGCTCATTGTGACTTTTGTGGATGGTAAGTCTGTTAGTTTGAAAGTTTTTTGTTGGGTTTTTTTTGACTGAACATACTTTTTCATTCTAACATGCATTGCTTGATTGTGTTGGAAAGTTTCGTTTCTTATTTTTTAAAATATAGCTTTTAGTTTTATTTTATTTTATGTGCACTGGCAGCTGTATGTTCACAAAATCACTCTCCTTCACGAACCATGTATCTACTACATGAGGGATTATCACGAACCATGTATCTACAAGAGGGATTATCACGAACCATGTATCTATTACAAGAGGGATTATCACGAACCATGTATCTACTACATGAGGGATTATCACGAACCATGTATCTATTACAAGAGGGATTATCACGAACCATGTATCTACTACATGAGGGATTATCACGAACCATGTATCTATTACAAGAGGGATTATCACGAACCATGTATCTACTACATGAGGGATTCTCTTTTCTTTCTGTTTACCAAAGTTTTTGGTTTGACCGTGTTCAGTTTGAGAGGACTTTAGTGGTGTCGGTAGCCTAGTGGTTAGGCTACCTGACTCGTAATCGTGAGATTGCGAGTTCGGGGGTTCGAGCCTCAGCTCGGTCCGACGTTGTGTCCTTGGGAAAGGCACTTTACATGAACTTCCCACTTGGCTCGGTCCTATCGGAGACGGACGTTAAACTAGGAGGTCCCGCCCCTTAAATAACCTAATAGTGTTGATAGGGGTGTTAAACCTATACCATTTCAACATTTTACTTTTTTGAGAGGACTTTTTTGTACATGTACACCCCATTCTAGATGAATTTTTGGTGAGTATAGTTTACTGGGTTTTAGCCCCTTGTAATTGTGAGGATAAGTGAGAGGGTTTTTTCTTCTTACGAAACTTTTTCCCCATGGTCCGATATCGTTCCAGCACATCGTCGTCGTCTGACAGCCCATGGCGAGCCAACGAGCGCGGCCACCAAACTCCCAGACAACAGACCCCGGCCCGTAACTACAACAACAGTCCAGGCGGGGTGGGGAACAACGCTGCCGAGGACGAAGTCAGCTGCCGATGTGGCCTGCCAGCAAAGTTGTGAGTTTGGAAGCTTTTATTGTTTCCACAACTTTATTTGTTTTGACTCTGATTACAATACATACAGTGGAAGTCGCTGAAACCAAAATCTGTTTGAACTCCAGATTGTCTTCGGTTTAGCTGGGTTTTTGCTTAAGAGAAGTTGCTGAAACAGAAAATGAAAGTTGGATATTTTCTTTTCTTAGGGATTAACTCTTTAAACCGTGAGTTTTTTTTCTACAGTCACCTAAACCTGGTGCACTATGTCTCATTATAACCCCAAAAGCTTGACTCCAACTTCTAAAAGATGGAAACAAAGGCTTTGTCATTACTAAAAAAACTTGGTTCGGGAATAGTTCGGAAAAACAAGCCTAAACTAGCACTAAATATAACGAAACAGTTGTCACAAGTATCGGACACTCCCAGCATCCCATGGGGTTTGAAGAGTTAACAATGTTAGGTTTAAGCGAACTGTGCTGTAGCTTTCAGCTTAGTTACAGTAGGACTGGGTTTTTTCATTCTTCTTTATATTGGCCAAGTAAGAAGTAGACATTTTGACCAATTATTAATTCACAGTTTTTCTTGTCCTTTAACGATTATGTCACACCCCCACCAGGGCAGTGCTACCGACTGAAGTTGTCTTTAGGCCATTCCCAAAGGGGGGATATTAACATGTTCTTATGCGCAGTAGAATTGTAAATGGATTGATTTATCAATGTCATGCTCATACTGTGCCGGAACAACATGGGGGAACTGCTGTTATACTCATCCTTACTCTCGTCATTTTGCCTCTACTTCTGTTGTATGTTTGTCACTCTCTTGTGACCTGCTATTTCCGGGGTGCCTTGATAGTCGAAGCAGACTTTGTGCTGTCAAGGCTAGAGAGGTGAGCAGAGTAAGTCTGATTCCCCGTTTGAACTTCTCTGTTGACATCCACCCCTTGGCGCTCATATGACCTCATGCAGTTGCAAGCCCCGTAAAACTTTACTCGTGGGTGGTTGGCGGGTGCTCTGGTGTGGTTTGCTCTTTCTTTCCTATAAAAAGTCTATCTTCTCTATCTCCCCTCCTTCTTTTTTGTGTTTGTTACTCTCTTGTAACACCTCTAATCTTCGGCACTTATATGACCTTATTGTATAAAACTCTTACTAAAACTAAAACTAAAAACTTAACTAAAACAAACAGTCCGCCATGAAACTTTTAAGCAAACAAATCTTTCTGTTCCCCGCCTTTTAATTTGAAATGACTTTCTCCAGCCTCACGGTGCAAAAGGTGGGGCCAAACACGGGCAGACAGTTCTACGCCTGCAGCAAACCCAGGGAACAGTCGTGCAATTTCTTCCAGTGGGCTGACGAGGGTGAGTACTACAGAGGGGCTAACTGACTATGAAAAAAGTCCTGAACTTTTCTAACCCCATGAGGAAACATCTAGACAGTGACTGGGAATTTGCCAGTCAAATTGTTTACTGCATTTTGTATCAAGGTCTGTTTTAGACAAAGTACAATCTAACATGCACAAAGAGATTAAGATATATAGAAACGTATAAACAGGAATGTATGAGAAAACAATTCCTGATGTCAGGCAAACTCTGGACAATATCAGAAATCTGGATTTCTGGATTCATCAGGAAAGTCAATAGCCTACCGTCTTCTTTGACATAGTAGGATGTAGTGTTTTAGTGTTTGTGCTTTATTGATGTCTCTTATTTTTGCCTTTAAAAAAAAATCCAAACGTCTTGTTTTTGCGTGGGTGGTTGGTGGGTGCTCTGGTGTCATTTGCTCCTTCTCTCCTATCAAACATATATCATCCTGGTCTCTCCACCTTTTTTTTTTTTTTTTGTTACTCTCTTTTAACACCTCTAATCTTTGGAACTTGTATGACTTTATTGTGTTGCAAGTGCTGTAAAATGCGTACTAAAACAAAACAAAACAAAACTTGGATTTTTTGGGTTTTTTTAATCCAAATGTCGCTTGTTATGAATATTTGGAGTGACTTTCTTTTTGGTCAGAACACAAGGTTTTATGTTACTGTAGTATTTTGTACTGTATTGTAAAGCGCTCAGAGCCTGTGTACTTTAGTCGGGGTTGAGCGCTATATAAATTAGAAAATATATATCTGTTGGTGTCACCAAAACTTTAATAACATCACTTATATTGTCAAGGATTGATTATTGCAATTCCTTACTGGCTGGTGTACCTGATGAACAGTTACAACAACTACAAAGAGTACAAAATATTGCTGCCAAAATAATTACTAAAAAACTAAAGCATGATCATGTGACTCCTATTTTAAAAGCATAAACTGGCTCCCAGTGAAAGAGCGTATCATATATAAAATCTGTTTAACTTGCTACAAGTGCTTAAATGATTTATCACCGGACTATCTAAAACAGCTTTTAACACCCTATGTGCCTCCTAGAACGCTCAGATCATCTAGTGACAAAACAACCCTTGTTAAGCCTAAAATAAATTTCAAATCATATGGCCAACGCTCTTTTTCATATTTTGCCCCACTTGTTTGGAATAGGCTTCCAAAAACTATCAGAGAAGCAGAAAATCTAGAAATTTTTAAGAAGAAACTAAAATCATTTCTATTTTCATCATATTTCGATTAGACAGAATGCATCCAAGCTGTAGATCGTTGTGAGTTTGTATGTGCGTATGTGCATATGTATGTATGTGTGTATGTGAGTATGTATATGTGTGTGGTGCGTGCGTGAGTGAATTATGTGTTTGCACGAGTATGTAACACTATGTACCTTTAAAATTGATTTGTAAATCCATTATATGTATCATGTTAAGCGCATAGAGCATTGCATAAGTGGATATGCGCTATATAAATGCAATCCATTATTATTATTATTATTAAATGTCATAAATTATTATTATTATTGTTTTACTTTTCTATCGTGCAGGAGATGGGAACTCGTCATTTCGTGGTCCGGGCAGTGGCTCCTCTGGTGGTGGTCTGGGCCCATTTCAGCCCAGACCAGGAGGAGGAGGAGAAGGAGGAGGAGGCAGCGGGGCCAAGAGGAAGAGACCTCCACCAGGAGGGGGAGGAGACGGGCCGAAGCCGAGGAAACCTCCCACGTGTGGCTACTGTGGACAGCCAGGTTTGTGGGCAGACGGAGGGCTTGGGGGTTTTTTTTTGTGGGGGGGGGGGGGGGGTGTTTGGTTTCTTTTTTGGGGGTTTTGGTTTGATAAAATTGCTTTATCAGATCACGACATCAGTGCTTTCTTGTCCTATCTCCATTTTTTTTAGCTTTGAAAATGTGACTTCTTCTTAAGCTCACTCTTTGTTTTGAACTGTTTTCACTGTTATTAATAATATAGATAGACAAGAAACAATGTTTTAAAACATGGAGATTGGACAAGAAGGCACTGAGGTGGCAAGATGTAGTACTGGAAATGGAATGGAAGAAGAAGAAGAGGTAGACTAAATAGAAGTTACATATATACACAGGATCAGGAATGAGGATTGTTTAGTTTAGTCCGGTATTATTTTCAGTCTAGAGAGGTTGCTCAAATGGAAGAAAAAGATTGGGGGTTTATTTATTTTCTTTTGGTTATCCGCTGTATTTTTTTATTCACCATGTTCAGTTTAAGTAGGCTCCCTTCTCTATATATGTGGATCCAAAAAATCAAATGTGTTTGTGTGTGCAGTTTAGAATGTTAATCCATAATGTGGCATTTTGTCATATGAGAAGCATTCTGACATAATATGTTACTTCTCGGATTCGAGCCCTATGGAAATAGATACATCACGCCTGTAGGTGAAGTTTTTACAATTGTATTTATAAGTATGAAATAATAAAAGACAGGTTTTAGGTAAAGAGTATGGTGTCAGTAGAAGAATTTGAAAATCTACAAATTTGACCCTTGTCTTTTTTTTTGGCCTATATCTTTTTTTTGGTAGATTGTGAAAAGTAACTCTTTTTGTCGGCACGTCTCACATATTTCTTTTGGCGTGGATCTCTTCCTATCACACCCCTTTTCCAGACAAATTGTAAGATCACGCAGCGGCAGATATGTACCTCCAAAAACAAAGGAAGAAAGATATAAAAGAAGTTTTTTACCATCTAGCATAAGGCTTTTGTCAGAATGAGCATAGATGTGTGTTGCTCTTAGAGTATGTATCTGTATATAACTCCAAAGGTCTAGTATTTAAATTCCTGCATGTGGTTGAATGATGCATTTGATATGTACATTTTGTCAACTTTACTTCTCCTTTCATATTGAATTTAAATGAGAGTAATATATATGATTGAATATTTTTTTAATGTATACTTGCATGTGTTTTTACGGTCCTGTACAGCCAAGGAAAATTTCTCTCTGGGATAATAAAGTACTATCTTATCTTATCTTATCTTATCGTATCTTATCTTATCTATATAGGTCACAGGAAGCCTAAGTGTCCGGAGCGGAGTGGGGACTTCTGACGCTCTCGTGGGACGAGATGTCATGAGACTGAGATTGTCTGTGATAATAATTAATTGTCTGTCGCTGATGAACTTTCCAGCAAGTGATTCACTTCCTTCGCTCCTCCCCGTCTTCCTGGTTAGCTTCTCCGCCGGCTGCTGATGGGAATAATGTTTGGATGACGGTGTCTTACGCTAAAGTCTTTCAATTCAATGGTTGAGCTTACATATTTTTTACTTTAATTATTTGTTATTGTTTTTCTTTGTGTGTGTGTGTGTGTGTGTGTGATGAATTTGAGAAAATAAGACTGAGAAAATGATTTTTATATATGCATGTTTGTGAATCTAATAAAAAAAAATTTTGTTTGGGAAGTACTTATTTAACAGATAAATTATGGTCGCTTTTAAGGACATGCGGGCTAACCCACATTTCAGGAGTTTCCAGAAATCTTGACCTACACCAAAAGTGGTAGAGAAAACTCTCCTTGTCTTTTAAGGAAACTGAACTAGGGGCAAAAACTTTTCCTTTGATTTTCTCTAAGCAGCATTTTTTGTGATAACCCCCTTGTACTTGAAAGCGACCAAATAAGACTTAAAAAAGAATTTTGATGTGAAATTAGTGTTTTCTACAGTGTATACAGTTTTCGTTCAACATCCCTGTCTTGAATGACAGTCAGTTGGAAAGCTGTATGTAGACAGTAGAATAGTGCTGTCTATTATATATTGACAGACAGATTCTCAAAAACTCTGGGCCTTATTTTCTCTTCTCGGGACAAGTCTATTGGGTGATTTCACGAGGAAAATTGTGGTAGTTATGCAGGGAGTGCTGAGACTGAGCTGTACCATCACACATGCGCACATGTGTACGCACATACACAAACACACACACACACACCAACACACACACACCAACACACACACAATCATACACACACTCACCAACACATGCACGTACGCACACACACATACACACACACAGAATGATTCTAGAAATTATTCTCAACTCTTGCCAGATGTGTTCAGATGAAACTATGGGTCCATCCAAAGACAGAAATACCCTACATATATATATGATTTTATTGGAAGTTCCTTCATGTTCTTCTTCTTCTTCTTCTTCTTCTTCTTCTTCTTCTTCTTCTTCTTCTTCTTTTTCTTCTTCTCTTTCTTCTTCTCTTTCTCCTTCTTCTTCTTCTCCTCCTCCTCCTCCTCTCTTCTTCTTTTTTTGTTGAGTTCACCTCCACTAGCATGTCAGTCTGTCTACTAGTCAGTATGTTTGTTTTAGTACTCTGACTCGCCATCTTCTGCAAAAGTGCTTTGGATCTGACATCTGTGGACTCTGAGTGATTGGTGTGTTACAGTAACAGTCAGGAGCCAGGGACTGCAAACCTTACTTGTATTTACTTGGATCCAGAGCTAGAATCATAGCAGGCGGCACATGTCCATAGCTGCTCATCTCTCCTCTCCAGCGTCCACCTCAGGATCTTCCTGCTAATTGTCTCCTTAAGGAGCTGGTTTGAGACACGCCTGACCACTCCTCGGAGCAAACTTTTTTTCGCTGTGCCCCGCACACACTTTTCTTTTATTGTGCCGAGTGTGTGGGAGTCTGTCTCCCCTTGGTCGGACTGCAAACCTGTGTTTGGTGTAACGATTAAAACTTGGCTGTAGCACACAGGAGACCCATGTTTAATTCAGGTGTGGGGAAAATTTTTATTGAGTGTCTTGGTCTTTCTGCTTGGATGTTGTGTCCCTCTCAACCATCAGCCCGGGTTGTCCCTGACAGGCAGAGTTGAACCCCCCCCCCAAATGATGTAAATTGTGTCGACTGGGGTGTTAAAACACCTGTTAAAAAAAAGAGACCTGTTGTCAGATTTATATCCACTGTTTAGGCCTACATCAAATCATTTTCTGATTTGTCAGAAAGATAGCAAAAAGAACAGGATTTTCCTGAAATACATGTTAGAACCAACATGTTCCTACTTCAGCAATAAGTTGTGAACTTGTGTGTATTATCAGATACTGATGAGATACCTTGCTTTTGAAGATAGGGTTTCATCCATCAGGGTCTGGATAAGTCTATCTGTAAGGAATGATTTAATCCAGGAGTACATGTTTCCCTCGATTCCCATGTTTTGCAGTTTTAAGAGTAGTCCTTTCCTCCACACTCTATCGTAGGCTTGTTGGAGATCCGCAAACACAGCCGTTGTCTGTTCCCCTCTTTGAAGTCCATCAATTATACCTTGCTTTGATGTCCAATAATGTCTTGTGCTTCCTCTGGCCAGCAGTGAGTTAAGTCTTTCAGTTGTGTGTCAGTCTGTGAGTCTTTCAGTTGTGTGTCAGTCTGTGAGTCTTTCAGTTGTGTGTCAGTCTGTGAGTCTTTCAGTTGTGTGTCAGTCTGTGAGTCTTTCAGTTGTGTGTCAGTCTGTGAGTCTTTCAGTTGTGTGTCAGTCTGTGAGTCTTTCAGTTGTGTGTCAGTCTGAGAGTCTTTCAGTTGTGTGTCAGTCTGTGAGTCTTTCAGTTGTGTGTCAGTCTGTGTTGTAGTTGTAGTCATGATATGTACACATGCGTCTGTTTGCTTCTGTGCTCGCCTAGTGGCTAGGCTCTCGGACTCCCAACCATAAGGCCGTGGGTTCGAATCCCGTCAGGGGCCAGACGTTGTGTCCTTGGGAAAGACACTTTTCCGGAATTTTCCTCACTTCAGCCAGGTGGGAATGGGTATCCAGCTGAAGACAGAGAAAGGTCTTGTCAGTTTGTTAGTGTTTGAATGCTTTATCAGCTGCTTGCACTGTATGCTTCCCGGGCAACAGAGAATGTTTCTGAGTGTTCTATGGTCTGCTGGGGTAATAATACTATAGTGTAAAGGGGCTAAGGTAGGGCTTGCTGTTGATCGGGGTTCCGCGCTTTACATATGCTATATTATTATTATTATTATTACATGTATTGTTATTAAGAGGTCTGATAATAATTATTTATGGAATGCTTGATATTTGTGTAAGATTTATTACACACATGTATATATAATGGACAAACATCTATCGTCCTTGTCTCTCCTCCTTCTTTTTTGTGTTTGTTACTCTCTTGTAACACCTCTAATCTTTGGCACTTATATGACCTTATCGTGTTGCAAGTGCCGTAAAACTCTTCTTACAAAACAAACAATATATAATGAATAAATCTGCGATGTCTTTTCATCCTGTATAGATTTGGTTTCTTGTTTTATGTTTTTCTTGTTGTTGTTAACTCCTACAGTGGGGTCTGCATAAACCGAAATCTGGAGGACTGCCAGATTTTCTTCATTTTAGCCAGGTTTTCGGTTTAGAGAGGTTCCAAAATTAGAAGAAAAAAAAATCAGGGACTGTGTTTTCATCTGTTTTACGCCTGTTTTCAGATTAACTGTATTCTTTGTTCAAGTCAGTTTTGCATTCCTGCTACATCTGTTTTATTTTTTTTTCCAAAGTTATCCACTTCCAGATCACTGTTACAGGGATCAATTAGTGGTTGGTGGGGGTTCCGATGTGGTCTTCTGATTCTTTTCAGTATGTCTATTATTATAAAGTCCTACTTAGAAGAACAGGAACGCCCGACGCAGCATGGTGGAGACTGGTGGAGGCAGATGCTAAGAAGAAAATTAGGCAATGATTGCTGGATAGATAGATATATATAACATATTGTTCAGAAGGGAACTGTTGATGGCCTAAGCTCATTTGGGATTTACTGATTTCCCACCCAAAATCCACGTCATCAGCATTTGACTGAACTGCTGCTTATTGGTGTGCAATATGACTCCTTAGAGTTGGTAAAGAAAAAGAGAGAGATTATATATATGCATGGTATATATAATGTTGTAACCTATAGCTTGTGAAATGAGACTACCACCATGCTGACTCGCTGTAAGAAGGAAGTCAGCGTCCATGAGAGCCGGCTAAAGTTTCGTTTTAGTAAGCATTTTACGGCACGCACAAATGGGTCATAAAGGTGCTGAAGATTAGAAGTGTTGCTTGAAAGTGACATACAAAGAAAAGAAGGAGGAGAGATACAGATGATACATGCTTGATAGGAAAGAAAGAGTAAACCACATTAGTAAAGCACCCACCAACCACCCACACTAACAAAAGAAATGTAGCTTCTGAACTAGCTCAAATACAAAAAGTGCTAAATCTGTAGACCTGTCAGATGCACCAGTGACGCTAGTTTAACCATATCCGAACGTCGTGTTTTACTATCGTATTCATATCCATATGACGGGAACTCTGTGCCACCACTTTCCAAAGAGGAAATTTACTCATTGATCCGATCTGTACGCTTTGCACAGCAGTCTGTCAAAATTATTTTTTTAGAAATACTGAAAGTTTCAAAGAGATACATTCATACTAGAAGTATTCTAAAATGTGAAGAATACAACCCCGGGGGTACAAAATGACCACAAGGCGTATGGATAGGGTTAAGTTAAAGGCTAAATTTGTTACAGGTGCACTTCTTTATAACGAAATCGTCACTGCTATCGGCACAAGAAAATTTGTAGACATTTGAAAGAACTTGTTCCATTTTACAGAGACGTGGCTTCAGAAGCCAGATAGGACATTCGTCCTCTGTTTCCTCCTGTTTTGTCCTTTGTAGTTGAGTGGGTGGTTGGTAGGTGCTTTGGTGTGGTTTGCTCCTTCTTTCCCCATCAAACATCTATCGTCATTATCTATCCTCTTTCTTTTCTTTGTATGTTACTTTTTAGTAAAACTTCTCATCTCCAGAACTTTCTTGGCCTGATTGTGTTACAAGTTCAGTACCGGGTAAAACTCTGACTAAAACTAAAAACTTCAAAGTTTGCATTGTATCCTTATTGTCTGGAGAAAATGCTCCTGATCAAATTTAAAACCAGACTGGGATGCAACCAAGGTGTGTAAGTGCATTTTTTCAAGGAAAACTTCATAACCACATACTGCTGAACAAATGACTCCTCAAACACACACTTCACACAAACTCACAATTCACAACATATCACGCTGGAAAAATGAACAGAGACAATAGCGCCCAATCATTCTTATTTACAGTTTATTATCTTGACAATCATATGAGTCACAATGAGGATATGCAGTTGGTAATGAAAAAAACCCATGTGAATTAGAAAGTCATTCTCTCCAATTTCCTTCGAGTTGAAAGCAGACACTCTTCAGTGAACCAAAAAGAATACACGTACAACAAGCATATCTGTCCTCCCTATTTATTTGCTGGTGCCCTATGTTAACCACATGGTAGATGAAAATGCAAATAAGCCTACAAGTACATACATGCAGCTTTCCACTCCTGATAGAGTGTGATTAAAGGCCTTCAAATGTAGGCTACACACTATTTAGGTGACATCAGTAGTCTAGTGGTAAGGCTACTGAACTCGTGATCATGAGATCGTGGGTTTGAAGCTCAGCTCGGCCCAACATTGTGTCCTTGAATAAAAGCATTTTACACGAATTTCCCAAATTGGCTCAGTCCTGACAGAGATAGACATTACATTTCCCGAACTCAGTGCTTTCTTGTTGTATCTCCATTTTTAATAACTAAAGTGAAAACAGTTCATAACAAAGAGTGAGCTTAAGAAGAAGTCACATTTTTACTGTAAAAAAAAATATGGAGATATGACAACAAAGCACTGAGGTCATTATTTGGAATGCGTGCCTCTTTAATAACATTACAACGTTGCAAGGGGTGTTTAACCTATACAATTTTACACATTTTTTTTTTCACAAATTATTTACTGACTGGCAAGCATAAGCCTCCTTCCTTCAGACTGGCCTTAGCTTGGAGAATGTCGAGCAATAAAGGCCTTGCATGACGAACCGGCAGAAGGAACAAACAAACAAAATGAACAGACAACCACACTCCATTTCGCCAGTACCCACAGAATGGAAGATTTTCAATAGATTAGAAGGCCTCACAATTAACCTTTCACTTTCACACAGCCTATCCACAACTGTCACATCTTGTAGACCAAGCTATCATTATTGTGCACACTTTACAATACAAAACAGATGAAATTACAATCCTAAACAAACCTCTGAAACACTAAAACAGTTTTTTTCTTCATATTGAGGGAAACACAAACGCTTCGTGGACTCTTTCCACTGTATAAATATAGCTGTGGGAGAGGAAGAGGACAAGACAAAGCAAGTTGGGGCAGAATTATCCATCCTACATTCGTAACTGTACAAGTCGAATGCTTCTTGTTTGTTCTTTTTCAGAGAAAGCTGAAAATCCTGAGTCTATTTCTCACTTGTAAAATGTTACCAGATTCTCCAGAATCATTAAATAGGAAGAAGTACAATATGTCATTTATGATGAGTCATTCTCACCTTATTGTCACTACTAAAAGTAAACCGTATCCTTACGTCGCGTTTTACTATCGTATCCATACGACATGGGGAACTCTGTGCCACCATTTTCCAAAGAGGAAATTTACTCGTTAATCCGATCCCTAGCTTTGCATAGCAGTCTGTCAAAATGATTTTTTTGAGAAATACCGAAAGTTTCAAACTCGAAAAGCAGGACGTGACGATCCAATGGCTTTCCCACTTGGCCAATACCTCATGAAAGAGTAGAAAACTATAGCCAGTAGCCATTGGTGGCGGGGAATGGGCAACGTGAACCCTACCGGAATTACACGGTCACAGGGCAGTTAGGTCTTTCCAGTCTCTTGAAAACTCCTAGTACCCTCCTATCCTCAACATGAATGGCCTCTTCTCAGGGTGGGCAGACAGTCCACAGACACCCCAGTCCTCAATGCCATGACAACAAACTCAAAGAGATCTTCATAATAGAAGTATTCTAAAATGTGAAGAATACAACGCCGGGGGTATAAAATTACCCCAGGGCGTGCGGATGGGGTTTAGCTTTAGATTCTGACTTATTGCTTTTTCCAGTGGAAGACGAAGACTACAGTAATAAAGAGTGAATAAAAAGTTTTATCTAGAACGGTGTTTTTAGACTGTTGAAAAACGATGGCTCACTCTGTCACAGACTATAATTTGAACTCTTGATTGTTAAACCGTGATTCCCTACTAATACGCAGCCGTTCGAAGAACTCAATATTCAAGAATAAGGAAATGACAGCAATTGAAATGTGTCTTGTGTATGATTGGAGGGCCCAGGACCAAAGCTAAATGTTTTCTACTATAAGAGAAAAATGATTTCACTCTCCCAGATGGACGAAAAAAAATAGTACAATAAGGTAATAGTGACTTATTTATATAAATAATAGTATATTATGTATGTAACATGAACTGAATCAGTGAAATATACAAAAATAACAAGACAACTATCGCTTTTTCCCTGCAAGCTTGGTTTCTCTCAACTGTTTGACTTCATTTTCATGGAAGTGGGACACAGCAGAGGTTTCAGCCAGCTGAAAAGGAAACAAAAAAGCGAAATAAGAGAAATAAGTTCCTACTCCCTGATAATTACCTGTTTCCCAGGATAACTGTAATGTCCATTACTATTAGGCAAACCACCTCTATTGCCTTAGTATTTAGGAAGACCTGGCAACTGTAACCACTGGCACGTATTTTAGAGAAGAGTGGTCACTACTGGTCAGTAATAAAGAGTACGTCTACCGGTACAGTCGTGTCTGGCTCCTGTTGTTTTCAATGTCTGTCTAGATCTACATGTTGTGATTGTGAAGTCCCGACGATACAATAACAGATTCATGTTCTCGGTCCTTTCAAACCCACAGTCCTGGCTTAGTGAATAGAGCATGAAGAAAAGAAAGAAGGTAAAGACACTGCTCTCCATAATTCCATGTCCCTAAAGCCGTCAAAATTATCCAAGACGGCCACCCATTGTTGAGGAAAAAAAGTGATGGTCTTAGACAGAAGGAGGAAGGAATTGTGCAGTATCATTTTATGATACTTAAAAAAAAAAAAAAAGAAAGTGGGAGGTTTTCGTTTGTACAGGTGATTGTCATGAACACATAGCCGCTAGAGCAGGTTGAACTGTCCATGAACACAAACGTTCATCCTGCACATCATTCTTCCACAAGAATGGTAGCACCTTCTGCTGGCGTGAATTTGGTTCCATTTGTTCATATCCCCCTCTTCCAACTTATTGAGGAGGAGTGCCCGGCTTTCATTTTCAAATACGTCTCCGTGAATAGGATGGTGTATGTGTTATATAAAAAATATGGTCCTACGTGGTGGGGGGGGGGGGGGGGGGGGGATAGAGGAGAATGTTTTTTCAAGTGTTAAAGCAGAAAAGGATTCAGATGACGTTTGGCTTCTGCTAAGGCGAATGAGACCAGTTCTGACAAAGAAGAGTTTGCCCCATTTTGAGAATTTAAAGCTTCATTTGCACAAGGTAACAAAGAATATTATACCTGTATAACTGTATAATAAAATTGACTTTCAGTCTTACTGAATTGAGAAATGATAGAAGAGATGAATTACAATGAATACTGATAGAAAATCGCCAAAGATGTCTTGAGTGGAAGACACACTGATACTGATCTCAACCCACAAACCTTCAATCACTCACCGTTGAAAATTAATTAACTAACGAATAACAACAGTATGCAATCCTACCTTCACTGACATAATTCTATACCACTGCCCTTCCTGGTCATTTTGCAAAAAAACATAAAACAGAGATCTCATTACACTTATTTCTATTTACAAGAAAAGATTACACAGGGAAACTTACCATGTCTAATAAAATGTCAATTTTCAGTTTCAGTAAATTATTCTCTTCGTGCAAAGTCTGGTTGGCTTTCCTCAAGCGTGTCACCTCCTTGTGGCTTCCTCCTCCCCCAGCACTCTCTGGGGAAAACGACAAAAAGAATTTTGAGGCAACAATTCTAATTTTTTTTTAAACAACAACAGCAAAAAATGGAAGAGAGAATAAATGATTTGATGAGATAAGACTAAAGAGATAAAAACAATGCAATACATTTCTTCAAGACATACCTAGCCCATGGAGGCAGAGCGTTAAGTGCGTGTGTAAACATACAATGTGTGTGTGTGTGTGTGTGTGTGTGTGTGTGTGTGTGTGTGTGTGCATGTGACAGAGAGAGAGAGAGAGAGAGGGAGAGAGAGAGAGAGAGAGAGAGAGAGAGAGAGACTGAGAGAACAGACAGAAGAAATTCTGAATTTTGTCAAGCTTGCTTAACATTAAGAAGCCAAGTGAGCCAAAAGAGAAAGCATGGCATCAACAGTACGCTTCATGAGTGTCCCAACACAACTGAAAAAGTAAAACACATTTGTGAAGACACTATAAGAAAAAGCGTAAGAAAATATCTCTTGTATTATACTAAACAACGCTTGGTTGAGAAATTTGAAAAATGGAAGACAAAAACAAAAATATAAATTATCGGTAAGCAAATTGTGCAAATATTCTGGAGCAGCGGCAGTCAAACTTCCCTTCATCATCACAACCTCAAGTTTAAAGACAGACATTTCCATGGCCTCATCGGTCAGATGTTCTTGATGGTCTTAGCTTGCTTTAATTGAAAGCTCAAATAAGAGTGAAATCGAAGGATAGGCAAAAAGATTTAGGTGGAGGTGGAGGTGCAGTTCACAGTCTTCTGAGAACTGATTCTTTAATTTTCAATGGTTTATGCAAAAAACCATTCTAACACTTACTCACCATTTACCCATAGACCATTTTCAAAAGCAACTTCATTTCCACCTAGGCTCACTTTAACAGCACCATAATCAAGACCAAACTCAGTCCTCGATTCACTTGCATCCAGGTGGAGATTTGACAAAGACTGGGCTCTACGTGGAGGAGTCTTCTTGGGTGAAAACTTGTTGGCAAACAATCCCAGAGGCATGATTATTTTTCTCTGAAACAAATAAAAAATGAATTAAAGCAGATCAAATCGCAGATCTGTGTGCAGAGGAAAGAATGGGACCTGAGAGGATGAATTATAAATTATAATTGAGACGCGGTTGGGATAGATCTGTCACTGACAAAAAAGCACTGAAAAAGACCTGGGCAAACTCGACCAAAAAATAGGAATTTTTCTCAAAATCCTACCTAGAAATCAATCAGAGTTTGGGGTAAAAATATGAGTCTCCAGAACCCAAAAAGATTAACATTGCATTACAAACCACGAACTAGCAAATAACGTGACTAATGAATACACAACATGCAAATAAAAATATATTTCAATTTCACTTCATTTACAATAAAATCATAGTCATACAAATACTGCAAATAATACACCAATTCCATGTCATTCATGAAAAGCTGCTTACGGCTGATGGAAATGGAATTTGAGCAAAAAATAGGATTTGATGCAAATCCAATCGAGATTCTTGAACAAGCAAAAATATTGTTTTTTAATTGAAGGCGAAGCTTAGGGCTCTGATTTTTTTTTTTGCGTACTTGGCAGGTCTGCTAAAATGAACTCGGTGACTCATAGCTCTTCACAAGCAATAAAATAAAAGATATACGGAAACATTCTTCATGCATGGAACCTCTTCGGGGCAAGGAGTGACTACCAGACTGCTGGTCAAATCTAGATCTAGTTTTATATAAAAGTCTAAAAACTAACAATTTTCCAAATTTCACTTTAAAGACAACAAAGGCCTCGTCAAACTATTTCTTAAAACTATCTGCCATCACACCTATTCAATACTGAAACGAGTGGTCCGGAGCAATCTGTCATTTAAACGATTTTGTTTACTAACAAATTACTGACATATTGGAACTTTTTTTTCCTCCCAAATCCAAATCAAAGCTCTTCGGCAAGCGTCAAGTTGATACATGTCCAGTTACAACTTAGTCCGTCGATGAAATGGTTTGCAGCATTGAATTATCTTAAGAAGGAAAAACCATTCATGTGTTCTATAACAAATTAAACATTCCTGCTGAAAATGAACTTGAAATGGCGGCACTGTAAATCATTCTGACAAAAAAAAATACCACTTACAAATCGTAAAGAAACAGCAATCAAAGTGACACCATTACTATCATTACTAATGAAAACAAATCGAATTCGTTTACAGTAGGCTCCCTTAGGAAGCACTTCCTTGTAATGTACCATGCAATTTGGTTGGCTAGTGGAAAATATTTCACCAATCACATCTCTTGTACTATGAGATTCTTGGAGAACTGTGGAAGGTTTTTGTATTTCAGAGTGATATCCCTTGGTAAGTTTTTCCTGGGTCGACGGCTTATGTTGACATGTGAAACTTTTCAGTTTGAGATTTATATGCCATCCATGTTCTTTGCCAAAGTTCACACCAAGAAATAAGTGAAGGAGAAGTTAATTAACTTTCTTGTTCTTATTCTGTCATCACCAGTGAATATTTTGGGTGTAAGTGTACACTTGCGTGTATAAATTGTATTGGTGGAGTATCATTGTCAACTTTCGCTTTCCACTCAAACTAGAGTCAATAGTGACAATAGCCTACTCTCAATGAACTCGATGACTCAATGTGAATGTGAATCAACGTTATTATAGATCTAGGCCTATTAAATCTACTTATTACCGTAACGATAAGGCTATAACAATCTTTCAATCTGTTGTTGCCCAGGCCTATTGCCAGATAGCCTACATTTTAAGCAAATTATTCCAGGAACGACTTACTTAAGTCTTAACGAGCGACCACCCTAACAATTTACAAACACAATATAAAAGGAAAAAAGAGACCTCCTAACTAACCCTGACCCAACCCCTAACCTTACCCCAAACCCTAACCTTCCATTTTACTCTGTTTGATAGCGGTGGCTAGTTACGGAATTCCTCCCTTATTGTGTAGATCTCTTTGTCTTTACTGTATCCAGATCTGCTGTTCCAAATCCGCCAATAATTGCTCACTAAATCATAATGAACAGTTAATTTTCTGACTTTCATAACTCGTTCCTTATTTTACTTCACATTGGCTTTTGACAATGTGTGCATTTTACGAAATAGTGGAGATTACTATTGTGGCGGCCAAATTATGAGGCGTGAAGAGTAGGCTACAGAAAAATATGGTAGTAGCCTATCTATGAAAATGCAGGCTGTTTTGTTGTGGGAGAAAAAATGGAGTACCAGTCCTTTCATCACACGGTCATTCGGTCACACCGGTGCCGTCAAGACGTCACTGTCATCTCATCACTCTCCAAATCTACAAGGTTGAATGGAGAAGGTCATTTCGTCGCACACTTGAAAACATCGAATGCGCATTGTCCTGGCTATCGCAAATCATGATTTTTGGGGGAGGGTTGGGTGATGTGCTGAATGACGGATGAGGCGGGGGGGGGGGTCCGAGTTGTGTGCCAACCTGATTAGCTACACCATTCATAACTGGGTGAGTTTTGTTGAGTAGTTTTTATTGGGGGGAGGGGGGGTTGTAGTTTTAGGCTTAAATTACTTTAAAACAAGAGGGCCCGGTCTACAACGATTACGTGCTTGAATTGGGGATTCAGAATAAAGACTGCAGGCGCTGATCCTCCAAAACTCAACTATCATAACAATTTTGACGCGAAATTATTTCGTCGTACATAATTTGTGATGTGATGAGATGACCGTGTGACGAAATGACCTGTTTCCAAAATATGTTGTTTTGACTTTGATTAAAGTTTAGTTATAAAATGGCCGGCACTATTTCTCCGAACGTTCGGGAAAATAAAGCTGGGCACTATTTCTCCGAACACTCTGAAATCACACCCTTTCCCGCATATTTCGGATAATAAAAATAAAATATAGATCTATAATTATATTATAGGCCTACCAAAGATTGTTCGTATACAATATGGTTCAATCGGTCCAAAAAATGTCCGTATTTATATAAAGAAATGCTACAGTTCCAAACAGTTTTTCGCTACAGATATGACGTGTGGCCTATGAAGGGTGCTGCTCTTAAACTTAATGTGTTGCGTTCACTCGTGAGCTGTCTAGATCTAGATCTATGGAGGGTTATTGATAACGATACATAGAGCTAGCATCTGCGTTTGTCGAGGCCGCGACCAATCAATCGTGGCTCGATTTTTTGGTCCCCGAAAAAGTCCAAAAAAAAAGAAAAGAAAATGAAACTCTTTACTTTTGAAAGAAAGTTCACTTAGCTTCACTTCGTCTCTTTCTCACTTGTTGTCACCACGTTGATTTGTTGAATACGTTACAGTTACATACGATTTGTATTGCTGTTCCTCTTTTATTTTTCGTTCATTTTTCCCTCTTTGTGGTGTTATATTTTGTTGGTGTGTATTTTTTTTTCTTGTTATTGTTCTGATGTGTTGTTTTTCTATGTATTTTTTTTGTTGTTGGGGAAAAGGGGGGGGGGGTTGTATAGTGTAACGTCATTTAATTTGATGTTCATACAAAAGGTATTGTGTAACGTCATTTAATTTGATGTTCCTACCTTCATTAGATTCTAAATATATATACCTGTATAGATTTAAATGTGCTATGTTAGAGCGTTCCACCAAAACCAAGTACAGGTACTGACACTGGCAGGCCCCCTGTGTGTGGTTCCATAATTTCCATGCAATATCCTGTACTTTTTAAAACAAATTACGCACATTTAGGGTTAAAACGGTCAATCTTCTTCGGACAGGTGGACACACGCCCTTATTTGTTAATTGTTGTGGTTGTTTCTGGGCTGTTCTAGTTTTGATTTCATTCTGTTGTGAAACCTTTCTTTTTCACGTTTTTACACTCATCTAAAAATCTCTAGACTAGATCTAGCTCTTGAAAATTGAAATAGATCTAAACCCAAAAATTTGCTCCGTTTTTTTTTTTAATGGACGATAATCGTCCACTCAAAAGAAAAGAGGGTCAGATTTCTCCGTCTCTCGGGTGCCTCAGGCAGTACCCGCCTCGCTAAACCAGTGGGCACACGGCCGGAGGAGAAGCTGAGAACAGATACCACCTTTGATTTGCTCCTTCCCAGACCTCGCAGAATGACGGAATGAAAGTTGGCGCCGAACTCTCGCAAATAGGCAAACAATCACGACCAGAGCGGAAGCCGGAAACCGTTCGGAGAAATAAAGATCGGCACTATTTCTCCGAACGTTCGGAGAAATAGTCACTTCGTTATAAAATTGTAATTGCAACTTCAGCTGGGTGTTTCTCAGCTTGCTGTTGGTTTTAGACTCTAATAATAGGTCCATGCTGTCCACAATCCGAGTAGTCTTGGCCCTTTCCTTCTCTATACCCTGCAATTCTTTTTCTGGAACATTGCAGTGATCTGGTATCTACTTCAGGATGATACGTGTTGGCTTCAATCTTTTTAGTGGTTGTGTTCAGGACATCTTGACTTTGGGAGGGGGGGGGGGTTAGAACTTAGATGGGAGAATGGGGGATGAAATCTGGGGTCTTGTTCTGCACATGGCATGCTTGCTGACACATCGTAATCATCATCATCATTGTAATTATCATCATTATCATCGTAATTATCATCATCATTATAGGTTTTTTTTCAGAGTTCAGGGAACTAACAAATGGCTTCAGGCTCAGGAGATGGATCGTCAAACAGCTCAGATATCCCCAGAGGACTCATCAACAGGATGGGAAATCCTGTTGGACGAGGCTCAAGGTCGGTTTTTGCCAGTTTTTTTACTTTCTTTCTTTTTTTTTTTTTTTTTGTTGTTGTTGTTGCTGCCTTTCACTGACTATCCACCCATCATCTGATACTTTTCTCCTGCTCATAAAACATCCTTCAAATTTTCACAGTACCGGCACAGTAATAGTGTTTAGTGGGTGCTCTGTTTTTGTTTACTCATTTCCCTTCTCTTCAGTATTAATTTTATTTAATTCTGTTGCACAGACGTTTTCGCCTGACTGTGGACAGCTTTGTTATTATTTGATTATTCAAGCTGTAAGGTCTAAAACTAACTAGTGTTGTGCTGAATATAAATGTACTTTACTTTACTTTTCCGATCCAGCGGCCATTTGGGTTCTAGCCCTTCGGTCTGTCGATATGGCAAAGATTTGACAGGTTTTAATCAGCTGTGCTTTGTCGCTGTATAGAGTGTTTCCGATGTCTGGGGAGGCAGGTAGGTAGGTGCTACGCAGGTCACAAAGTGCTGGGCAGTTAAAGAGGTGGTGTGGTACTGTTTCATCCTGGCAGTCGCACAACGGGCAGTTGGGTGGGTATCCTTGCGGATCCTATTAAGGTAGGAATTTAGTGGTATGTGTTGTGTTCGCAGGCGAAATATCGTGACTTGTTCTCTTCTACTCAGGGAATTTATTGCGTCTTTAGAGTTGGGAGCTGTCATGTGTGCAAATACAGTTCTTTCAGTTTTGCCCATTGCCCATCCATTCAGCCACTGTTCCCTGGTGTTGCATTTGATGATGTTCTTAATATAAATGTAAAGTTCCTGTGATGAGATCATCGTTCAATGGTGCGAAGGTTGCTGTTTCTCATCTGTGTGTTGTGTTTTTGGTTTCCCCAGGTTGCCGTCTGTGCGGGGCCACCGAGACTTGACCCTGGGAGGTATACAGAGGAAAGTTTTCACACCGAACTTAGCTGCTGTCAAAAAGGCTGCCAGCAAGGATGAGTGAGTTTGTAAAATTTTGTCTGTAAACTTAGATGTGGTATGGCTTAGAAACTGATATACTTACACATGCTATTCACATACATCATACCATGTATTTCAAAAAGCTCCTAATATTAAGATGCTCTGTATGCTAAAAAGTGTTATTTTTGAAAATGGGGATAAAAAATCTGAATTATCCGTATTTTATTCATATATATTACATTATAATTTTTTCCCATGGTGACAATTAGTAACTAGTTCTGTTTTGGTATTGATATTCTTCAATAATCAAGTGATAATTTGAATTCAGTGATTGTAAATAAGCATGACATCATGAATGAAGTGCTCTGCGAGTAAAGCAAGGAGGAATAAAAACCAGTTTTGACTTTCTTTTTCTTTCCAAGGCCTTCGAAGCAAGCCTCCGCTCCCAGCTCTTCAAAGTCGGACCAGACCGACTCGAGGGGAAAGGGCAGAGGTCGGGGCAGGTCTGACCGAGGCCGTGGGCGGGGCAGAGGTCGTGGAGAGGACAGGACCATCCAGCTGCAGTCAGAGTTCGCCTACGGCCCGATGGGTGGCCAGTCTTCTGGTGCGTCCTGCTTGCCATTCGTGCCGTATCAATTTTATACACTTTTAAATCAAATTGGGATTAACTTCATAAAAAAATGATTTGCCGGATAAATCTTGGTTTCCCGTGTTGTATTGTTCAACTCTTTCAATTTTCCCCTGTTTTTGCTGGTTTTAATGAGGGAGCTATTTGTCAGTCATTGCCGTTAAAGTTGTGTTTTACTCTGTTTATCTCAGTTTTTCTGTTTCCTTAGTGGTGAATGAGTTACCTTGAATTTTTGTCACAATAGAGATTCAAGAACATAATAGGTGCTTGTTAGTTTTTGAAGGTATTGAGCTCTAATCTCATGCTCTAGTTTGTGATTTTAGGTTTTTTTTCAAGTTTTATTTCTGAGCAACTTGGGGATTTTTTTACCATATAGTGCATATCTACACTCTACAGCATTTTTATCGAATATGGTATACTGCATAGCTTGGATGTACGTTATATCATTGCAATTGTTATTACTACCTGTACCTATCTTAAGAACACTGCAAATGAGACACAGGAATTCTTTTGTATGGTTTATCTATTGGAATCACTCTGGGGTTGATTAGATGACAAGGACATGTGGTTACTTGAGGGAGGCCTTGCACTGCCAAGAGCGAAATGCTCGCAGCTAAAGGGATTTTAAAACAACAACAAAAACATCAATTGGAATAAAATTCATTTGCAGAAATGCTTTTGTTTCTCTTTCCCCAGGGTGGAGCAGAGGTAGTGGAGGTGGTGGGGGAGGCGGGGGAGGGGCTGGCGGGTCGCGGCAAAGGGATGCTGAGGCCGCGTCCTTCAAGATGAGTCTGAAGCAGAGCACGAGCTCAGAGGATGACAAGAAGATACTGGAGGCCTTGATGAGAGACGACGTGAGTGGCTTGTGTGTGTGTGGCTTGTACAACTTGTTGGTATATTTACTCTTAACATGCCATTACGAACAGATTTTTATGTTCCTAATTTTTTTCTGACATGTAAATTATTCTTTGTGTTTTAAAGGCAGTCATAGTGAAATATGCACAGAACACAAAGATTTCGGAGTTCCGACTTTTTCGCTATGTGTGTGTGACAGACTGTAGTTACTTTGAGGGGGGGGGGGGTCATGCTTGTCTTTTTTTAGTAAATGATGGAAAAAGTGGAAAGATGGCAAGTCGTCACATTTTGCCTGTACTTACAGTTGAAATGGAAATTGTCAAAGATGGCGACCCATTGTCAACAAGACAAGTGGTTGTCTTAGACAGTTGAAGTCTTGGATCATGTCATTATAACATTTTTTTAAATGCAAGGAGGAAAGTGGGAAGTGGTCATTTGTACAGGTAATTCTCTTGTCCTTGGAGCAGGTTTTGACTGTATTATGGGTCGTGGGACTCAATTTTTAAGGTTTTTGGTTTTGCCTTGTGCAGTTTGTTTCGGACATTTCAAGCGGAGATCCTCACATGAGGCCGGTCAAACTGCCGTTGAACTGCAACATTCCCTCTGTACCTTCTGTAAAGGATGAAATCAAAGCTGAGCCGAAAGGTGAGTCTTTTTGTTTCATAAAGGAAAGGGCCATTTTATCCATGTTATTTTCCAGTCAGTTAACAATGAGAGATACCATGATAAACATGATGGTGTGTTATGTACAATTATAAACTCTGTGACACTGATTTGTATCACTACAGTTCTTTACGTAACTGATAGGCTCAGTTTGAGGGCAGCAAATCACATACGGTTTGTCAAATTAGAAATACTGAACTGAGAGAGGATCCCAGATGTTGCCCACGTGCACAGGTGGAAGTGAAGATTTTAAGTACTCAAAATGTGGCAAACCTTTGTGTCAGAATTTGTCTCATTGGTCATAGCAGAAGCTACAAGTCATCTCTTTATTCCTTCTATTTCTCTTGAAGAAATATTCTTCACTGCAGATGCATTGGTCATCATCAGACATTGAAGAGTGAACCTCCCCCCAGGGCGGTGCCACTGACTGTAGTGTATTTAGGCCATTCCCAAAGGGGGGGG